AAAAGCTTATTTTTTCAGGAGTTAAGCCCAGTCCAATTTAGGAATGCCAACGTGCTTGTGCTCACAAAATTACGACACAACCAGCTCCGCTAGTAGAACAAAAGGATCATGTCAAAACGACGTCCAGAACGTTAGGAGCAACTACCTTTCCGATGTCCAGTATGTCAATCTTTGCAGCCGATGCTCCGATGACAGCACGTAGAGCGAGTAATCCGTTTACTGTGGTCTACCCTCACAAAGCTACATTTAGCTTGCCGCTTAAATCCACCAAAGGACCACTGACGTCCTGGTTTGAACTTCGTGTCAGTGCCACGCTAGTGACAAAAAGGATCATCTCAAAGGAGCCGCCTACTAATTTCACTTTCACTCGCACTGCCTTCGCAACCGCCACCACCACCACTGCACCACTAAGCTCAACTACATCACGACTAACTGCCATAACACCAAGATCTCGTACAGTTGCTTTAGTACTTAACGACGCTCCAGGCACAACGCAATTTCGACGGCTGTCGAGTGCCAGCGTTAGTGTTGCCAACAAATTGGCCTTCCGCTCGGATCTGGACCGACAACTGGCCAACGAAAAGCGACGTCTGGAGAATCGCGCTGATTTGGCGTACAGTAGCCTTGTTGACCATCCGGTTACTGTTGCATGTACGTTCCTGCCGTTCTTCTTTATAGTTTGGTAGTTGCCAATAATAACCAGTACATAGAGTCTGATAATTGATTGATTTTATTCAGAGGCACGGTTCACGATAAAGATAGTTTCTGAGATTTCTCCATACTATGATTTCAAAGCCCCCTTGTATACCATATCTGGCGCTATCAGCAAACGGCTTAGTTAGAGTGTTATGGAGGCTCAAAATTGTATCCTGTGTATCCTCGGACGAGTTTCACCGACATTGCAGGGGGCGCACCATTGACAAGGGAACCCATCTAGGATGCTCAAGGAACTTGTCGTGACCCATAGCGACAGTGAAAGGCAGTTTTGTACCAATTCTGGCTCGATGTAGTCAGTACTTTGCGCAGTTGCAA